TATCAGCCCCACCATCTCTGTGGATGGGTGCACCCCTCATGGTCCTGACTTCCTTGCTCATGTTCTCCCTCCTTCTGCTCCTCATTTGGACCTTAGGAGCTCAGTCCAGTGCTCCAATGTGGGTCTCTGTCTCTATCTCCATCCATCACCAGATGAAGTTTCTATGGTGATATGCAAGATATTCATCAGTATGGCTATAGGATAGGGCCATTTCAGGCTCCCTCTCCTCAGCTGCCCAAGGTACTAGCTGGGGACATCTCCATGGACACCTGGGAGCACCTCTAGAGTCAAGTCTCTCACCGACCCTAAAATGGCTCCCTTAATTATGATATATACTTCCCTACTCCCATATCCACCCTGCCTCCATCCCAACCATCCCATTCCCCCAAGCTCTCCCCATCCTCCCCTTCTCACTTTTTTCTCCCCATTTCCCCTTACCCCCACCCCATCTTCACCCCCAAGTTTCCAATTTTTGCCTGGCAATCTTGTCTCCTTCCAATATCAGGAGGATAACTTTATGTTTTTCTTTGGGATCACCTTCTAATTTAGCTTCTCTAGGATCTCATATTATAGGCTCTGTGTCCTTTATTTATGGCTAGAATCCACTTATGAGTGAGTACATACCATATTCATCTTTTTGGGTCTGGGTTACCTCACTCAGGATAGTGTTTTCTATTTCCATCCATTTGCATGCAAAATTCGAGAACTCATTGTTTTTTACCGCAGAGTAGTACTCTAATGTGTATATATTCCACACTTCCTTCATCCATTCTTCCATTGAAGGACATCTAGGTTGCTTCCAGGTTCTGGCTATTACAAATAATGCTGCTATGAACATAGTTGAACAAATGCTTTTGTCATATGATAGGGCATCTCTTGGGTATATTCCCAAGAGTGGTATTGCTGGGTCCAGGGGTAGGTTGATCCTGTATTTCCTGAGTAACCGCCACACTGATTTCCAAAGTGCATTCCCACCAGCAATGGATGAGTGTACCCCTTTCTCCACATCCTCTCCAGCAAAGGCTATCATTGATGTTTTTGATTCTAGCCATTCTGACAGGTGTAAGATGGTATCTCAAAGTTGTTTTGATTTGCATTTCCCTGATCGCTAAGGAGGTTGAGCATGACCTTAAGTGTCTTTTGGCCATTCGAACTGAAGAAAGCACTCTTACCACCAAGCTATATCCCAGCCCCTCTTTTTAACTATTTATTTATTTGTTTGTTTGTTTGTTTATTTATTTTTACCTTTTATTTAGAGACAGGGTCTCAGGAAGTTGCCCAGGCTGGCCTTGAACTTGGAAACTTCCTGCCTTAGCCTTCCAAGTAACCAGGATTATAAGTTGGTGCCACTGGGCTTGGTTTATTGTGCGCTGCTGCTTCTTGAAAAATGAACCGCTTTCTCTTTCTCTCTTTATAAACATCTAGAAGATAACCTTTATCTTTTTATAACTCCACTTAAGTGGAGCAAGTATAAATGAATGATACATTTATCAATTACCAAAATTCAGTGAGTTTTAGGTTTAAAAAGACTTTGTCTGGAGACATGGCTCAGCTGTTAGAGGCTAGGCTCACAACCAAAAATAATCATAAAAACTTTAATGAAAAAAAACACAAATTATTAGATTGATTTACTGATGAAAAGTTTATAATCAGTATAAATACTGTATATAAAGTTATAATCAGAAGTACTTTAATGAAAAAAATCACAAAGTATTAGATTTATTTGCTGATGAAAATGTAAGTGCCTTGGCCATAATTGCATACAGCATAAATTGCTTAAAAGGCAGAAGCTAAATCTAGATCTCCATAATTCTCTTCCAGTGTTCCTTCTATCATCACTCATTTAATGTGGACATTCCAAAGTCATTTTATCTATTAGCACACGGCAACTGCCCCAGCTTGATAATAATGCACAGCACCCTCTTTTTGCTTGCATTTGATTAGGGAAGAAACACCAGCTGTATTTCCTTAGCAACTTTGTACTCGGCTCCAGTATAGCTTGTTGATCTTCTTAAGGATTTTTGTGTATAGACGTACACACTGTTGACCCTAAGTACTATTAGTTTTCTGGATTCACCAGTGTTCATATTCTAGAAAAAAAAAAAAATCAGGGCCAGAGATGAGTAAGGGAAAATAAATTCTGCCTTCCACAGTACCTCACAAGCAGCCCTTTCAAAATCCTCCAAAGAAAAGCCGAAAGCACTCTACTCAAGATTGAGTGGACAATTGTTGGCCATCTCTTCCCTACTTCCCACATCTGAAGTTCGGGAGAGCTAGGCATCTATGCTCAAAGATCTCCTCACAGAGCCAGCTTGAGCATTTACGCTAGGAAGTTCTCATTGTTCACAGTTCCGCAAAGTTGAATGTATATTGGACAGAAGAGCTTTATCAGTAAGCAATTGGTAGCATGTTGAGCAGTCTCAGTACCAAAACCTTAAATGTGAAATGTATTCAGATTTACAACTCACTGAGTGCTTGACTGGTGCTGGAAGTGGGAAATGGCATACTTGAACTCATATGATACGTTGCAGTCAAAACATAAGCACACTGAAAACGTGGTATAAAGTTGCATTCAATATACAGGTATATAAAACATAAATGAATTCTGTATTTGCATTTGAGTCCAAATCCCAAGAAATCTTATTACACACACACCACGACACAGACACAGACATACATCACACACACACACACACACACACACACACACACACACACACACACATACACACACACATCAAAAATACCTAAAATTTGAAATACTTCTTGGTCATAAGCATTCCAGGTCAGGGATAGTCCACTTGTATCAAGAAAAATGGTGAACTGGTCTGTGAGAAGAAAGCCCTCCATATAGTGATACAGAATGGTAGCCTGAGGAGTCGTCTTACTTGAGGATCTGGGAAATCCTCTTGAGGAATGAAATTCTACTAAAAACCCTCCAAGAACCAGCACTGTCAAGAACCAGGGTAGAAGACTGAACATTCTGGGCCCAGAGAGCAGATGAAATAGCCGCATGCTAACAAAAGTTAGGGCTGTTTGGGCAACTAAAAGACTAAGGCGAGGGTAACATGAAATTGGAGAGCCTGATTAAGTTTCTCGTGGAGGCTAGAGGCTGTCCCCAGGTCTCAGTGGCTGGGGCCGCTGTAGTACTTAACAGTAATGAGGATCACGGACTTAGCCAACAGCTAGCCCTTCGCCGCTTCCCGATTCGGCAAGTTCCCAATTGCTTCTCTCCCACCCTTCCTGTTGTGTGTGATTCACTATCCAATTCTTCAGTCAGGATACTGCTTCTGCCACTGTTGGCTTTCTCTAGTGCCGCTGCTTCTTTCTGCCCAGGCAGCATCCGTGTCCCTTACTAACCTGCATTCCAGCAAGCTCCAACAGTTTCCTCACTTACATAACCAGGTCACAAACGAAGTATTGGCTTTATGTTTCCTGATTGTCACAGGTTCACCAGTTCGACAAAGCCCTGTTTCTACTAGCCTCTTCTTAAAACACATTTTGGAAAAGGCCTGGGTGAGGGGCTGAACAGAAAATCAGCTGATAATCACTCTTCTTTCTGCACTTAGAATCTTTCCCTGTCTCCTTCACAGCCCCCAGCCAGCTTTCCCCCTCTCTGCTGCCTTGTGTACGCTGTGTGTCTTCCTGAAAGCCATAGGTTTTCTTGTCCCTGTCCTGAAACTTCAGTTCCTTTCTCTTCAGACTTAAAGACATGCCTGAAATTGAGGTCCCCACAGCATAATCTCACAAATTTGGCTGCTGGCTCCTAACCAAAGCCTTGAGGCCAAATGCGTTTTTTTTGAATTCATAATTTGGAAGTTTTAGAATGGAAATATGGCATGCTACATAACACCCTGTAATCAAGGCTTATTTCTATAGCCTAGACTATGAATATTCATATTAAGTGGATTAAACAAATACCATAAAGAGTCTCATATCAATTCCGTTTTACTTCTGAATGAATTTGTCACAAACATAGAAGAGGCTCAGTTTTCCATGTAGGGATTTGGGGGATTATGAACCTGTATTCTTGAACATACATATTGAAAACACAATACTTAGAATATCCCAGTCACTTCTGAAGCTATCATAAGCATATATTTAAAGTGAAATATTAGCTCCCTGATTGCCTACCCATTAATCCATTACCACTAATGTGACTTCTGTCCTTCCTCCATGTCTGTGAAGGTTATCACAAGTGAAGTTGATGGTATGGAAGGGCAGATACTGGTACAGCATCAGTTCTCCATCCCAGAACAGCTACACCATCTGGGATGGACAGATGGACATGCCATGGGAAGGCAGCAGGAACCCACAGCAGCTGCTGTTGAGAGAAATAAGACACTCTTAAGAATACCCTGTGATTTGGCCATGAACTGTGTCGTGAATGCCTGATGTACAACCTGTGCTCACTGAGGTGATTCACAAGCAGCCTAAAGAATAAAATGATCTTATAAGCTAAAACTTGAAGCCAGTCTTAAGATACCAACTGCTACATGTACTGGACACAGAGTCTCCTCTGTACACTGATAGGGTTGACTCTCATAACCATTTTAAACTTTTTCTTCCCCAATACAGAATGTTTGGGCTAAAATAATGATAAATTTGTGTGCCAATGTCTATAAATCTCTGATTTGGTACAACAAAAAGAAAATGCGAGCAAAAAAAAAATGGGTTTGAGCTGTTCGAGGAAGCCTTTTCTTTGTTGTTCATTTTGTTTTGGGCTTTTTTTGGTACCACATAAACCAGGCTGGCCTGGAACTTATCATCCTCCAGCCTCAGCCTCCTAAGCGCTGGGAATACATGTGTGCGCCAAGAGATCCAACTAAGTCTTTTCTTTAAGTTTCTTATTTTCCTTGTCTCGCCAAGAAAATGTGTTAATATTCTATCTGTGGACTTCTTTTTTTTAATCTGTGGATTTTTTATATAGAAGATGTCAGTGCTCTTAAAATTCTTGAATGGTAGCTTTGAAAGCTTTAATGTATTTGCCTGCATTCCAGAAAATGAAGAAGTCAAGGAAACGACTTTACGAGAGCTTAAAATGCTTCGCACTCTCAAGCAGGAAAACATCGTGGAGCTGAAGGAAGCCTTTCGCCGGAGAGGGAAGCTGTACCTGGTGTTTGAATATGTTGAGAAAGTAAGTCATGAGTTACCCATGTGCAGATTCACTTTGTCTTTTGTTTCTGACACTACTGAAGAAAGTAGGATAAATTAGTATGACCTATCCGTGTATTGATAATCTGAGGATCTTAAAAATGAAACTGTCTCCCACAGCCACTAGATGTTCTGAAATAGATTTAGCGATTTTGTACAATGTAGAAGCATTCAGATGATCTTAAGTTTAAACAGCATAGTGGTGCAGCTTCTGAAGTTAGAATCTATGTACATGTTGGTTTTCAGCTTAGTTTTGTTTTTTTTTTTTTTTCAATTTAACATGAACAAAAAGCTCTGCAGGTGAAATAAGTGAGTGGCCAGTTTGAAAAAGGATGGTAGAGGCACACGTCACATCAGGTCCATGCAAGCAGGAGCTGGATCCTGCGGTCAGACCTAGGATAATGGATGAACAAAGCAGAAGCAATGTTTTGTGCACCGCCAGTTGCCTGGCTTTCTTGAGGGACTTGTAAAGGAAGGCCTGAAGCTGCTCTAAAGATCACTAGTAACACCTGGTAAAGAAGGTTAACTCATGACTGGTTTACTCTTGTGACCTAAGGGCAAAAGGTTAGCTGTCTCCAAGTTTCTTAGAGAGCAACTGAGCGAGGAGTTGGTTGGTTTCAACTGATTACAGTAGGAGAAACTGGAAGCAGAGGAGCCTGTTAAAGGTTTGGCTGCTGTGTGGGAAGGCGGCTGATGAGCCGTTCATGGGCTGTTTCCTAACACTGGAGAGGCTGCCGTTTGCTGGTAGGTCAATTCCCTGGTGTTCATTGTGACATATAGTGACAAGAAAGCAATGCTTTCAGGAAGACCTGACCTGGTAATGTGACTTTGAGTTCATTCAGCATTTACAACATATTTTTTGAAATAAGCCATAGAAACTAATTCTTATTAGCATCATTTAAAATATGCAAGACTCATTTTATTTTAACATTTATTTTTATTGAAAATATTTTTCATATATGATCGGATCATGGGTTTTCCCTTCCCCAACTCCATCCAGCTGCTCCCCACCTCCTGATCCACCCAACTCTATGCCCCTTCTTTTTTTTTCTCTCTAGAAAAAAAAACAGGCAAAGGACAACAACAGAAATAGAATTCAAACAAAGGAGAAATGCACACACATACACAAAAACAAGACCCATAAAAACATAAAATTGGAAGCCGGAATATATAAACCAATGACTAGTAAGATAAAGAATGGCCAAACAAAAAGCAAGATGAGACAAAAAGTCTACAAAAATATCATTGAGTTTGTTTTGTGTTGGCCATCTACTGCTGGGCATGGGGCCTACCATTAACTGTGGTTAATATCCCTAGCGAAGGCTCTGTCATTTTAAATCAGTTATTATATGTTATTTTCCCCAAATCTTTTTCTGTGTTAGTTTGGTATTTCTTTATGTAAATAAAACTAACGATTTTTTTTTGTTTTAAGAAAAATATTGCTGTCCTAGGATAACAGAAAAAGAGATTGTTTATTTTCTAGTTATCACGAATACTTGCTCAGTCTTCACCTTTCACTGCCCAGTAATGAAATTTGACACATCTGGTATTTCAGTCTCACTTTTTTTTATTTGTGTTATCTTCATGGTGGTGATTTACAATAAATAACAATTTAGTATATCAAATAGAGATATCTCTTCTGCATATCTGTTTTCTCTCTGGGAGAAGCAATTTGACATGCCTGAGCTCGCTCTGCTCCCAAGAGACAGTGCTGTGACCATTATTACAATCTTGTGACACTGAGGCCTGGCCTTCTTTCCTGCCCCTGTGATTCTTGGATGGAAGTTAACCATTATACCTGCCCACCAGCGCAGGACCTGGCAATCTACAGTGAGTCTGGGGAGCATAGAGAAAGATGCTCCAACAGGATAGGGAGTCCTTAGCTCAGACCCACAATTACAATGCCCTAAACAAAATGGGAATCTCTTTCTTCCTCGCAAATATATACAACGGGAGATAGCGCAGGACTGAAGGGCAAGCTCTGCTCCCTGGTCTTTAGTGTCAGCTGTCACATCCTGTCAGCTAGTATAGAGTTACATGGGTCACACTTGCTGCAAGGCAGAGAGGAAATGTACTCAGCATTCAGAGTATCTGAGTCTGTGGTTGAAAATGGTATTCCCTACAGAGTAAGGAAAAATGGCTGTGGAGAGTGATAGTATCTGCTGCTTAGGAAGCCTGAGTAAAACACCAACTGAGAGATAGCCATCTTTTCTGTACTCTTCAGTTCTCCTATGCCTCCTTGTTCTTGGCATCTCCTGTGTATTTGTTAGTTGGAAAAAGGTAATTCGCATAGAGATTTTTTTTTATAGCTGCAAGCATTCTTTCGACATTTTTAACTGAAACCATAATTATACATTGAATCCTCTACAGAGGTAGGTTGAGGTGTTCTGCATATTGATCTTCTGATTAAAGTTCTGACTGGTCTTTGTTGCATACAGCATCCCCATCAATGCATCTTTAAATGGAAGCAAAGGCTCAAGACTAGAGAGCAACCTCCGTGCAGAGTATTTATGATTATCAGCTGCCAGCACCTGTTCCTTACCCGTGCTTCTGCGTGTCTGTCACCATTGACTAGACAGTAACGCATTTGTGGCTCTCTTTTGTTAGGTATTTCCAAACTATTATAAACATGATTTTCATATGTGCAGCAGCTCTCTTTTTAAAGAAACATTATTTCAATGGTTGATAATGATATTTAATTACGTTAAGATTGTTGAGAGCCTTCACAACTTTTATGTGGGTTTTATCTAGTAGTGTTTCTCATATTAGACAGAACTGAGCAATGTAAAACTGTTTGGGGCTAGAGTAGGAGCTCACTGGTAGAGCGCTTAGCTAACATTGTAAAAATAAAACAAAATCAACAACAAACCCAATAATGTTAACACAAGTGGCTTGCATTTCAGTTGTTTTTTAAGATAGAAAATGGTACAGCACAAAAAATGGCTAGTGCAGCCTGCACATGCACTCAGCTCCCAGTGAGGACAGCCATGGTTCAGATGCATCTCAGCATCCAGTGAAGACAGGTGTGGTTCAGATGCATCTCAGCATCCAGTGAGGACAGCTGTGGTTCAATGCATTTCAGCGTGCAGTGAGGACAGCTGTGATTCAATGCATTTCAGCGTGCAGTGAGGACAGCTGTGATTCAGATGCATCTCAGCATGCAGTGAGGACAGTTGTGGTTCAGATGCATCTCAGCATCCAGTGAGGACAGCTGTGGTTCAATGCATTTCAGCGTGCAGTGAGGACAGCTGTGATTCAATGCATTTCAGCGTGCAGTGAGGACAGCTGTGATTCAGATGCATCTCAGCATGCAGTGAGGACAGTTGTGGTTCAGATGCATCTCAGCATCCAGTGAGGACAGCTGTGGTTCAATGCATTTCAGCGTGCAGTGAGGACAGCTGTGATTCAATGCATTTCAGCGTGCAGTGAGGACAGCTGTGATTCAGATGCATCTCAGCATGCAGTGAGGACAGTTGTGGTTCAGATGCATCTCAGCATCCAGTGAGGACAGCTGTGGTTCAATGCATTTCAGCGTGCAGTGAGGACAGCTGTGATTCAATGCATTTCAGCGTGCAGTGAGGACAGCTGTGATTCAGATGCATCTCAGCATGCAGTGAGGACAGTTGTGGTTCAGATGCATCTCAGCATCCAGTGAGGACAGCTGTGGTTCAATGCATTTCAGCGTGCAGTGAGGACAGCTGTGGTTCAGATGCATCTCAGCATCCAGTGAGGACAGCTGTGGTTCAGATGCATCTCAGCATCCAGTGAGGATAGCCATGGTTCAGATGGCATGTGTGCAGCAGAAGTGCTTTGTGTAGATTCTTCAGTTGACATGTAGATTGTTAAAAAGACATGTTTTAGTTTCATTTATGTTGCTGTGGCAGCATATCCTGGAAAAAAAAAAAGCAACTTTGAGAAGAAAGGGGTTTATTTTAGCTTACAGGTCCAGGTTATAGTCTGCCAGTGGAGGAAACTCACAACAACCAGAACTTGAAGCAACTAGTCATATCATATCCACAACCATGATCAAAGAGAAATGAATGCATGCATGCATTCTAATGCATAGCTAAGTGCTCAGCTAGCTTTTCTGTACTTTTTCTACAGTTCAGAGCTCCAAACCAAGGAAGAGTGCACACACTTTCAAGCTGTGTCTTTCCACATCACCGAAGGCAGTTATTGACAATCCCCCCACACCTGCTCACAGGTCAATCCCTCATTGACACCCCCTCTCCATTGTGCCAATTTGACAATCAAAAATTAATCGTACAACATGCACAATAGAATTTTATAAAAGCAATGCTTTTCTACTGCTTCATCAAGGACATCTTTAGCTAACTGCTTTTTTTGTTTAATAGTTTAATAGCATTAATTTCATTTAATAGAATGTCCAGGGTCAGTTGAATTGAAAAGTCCATTGTTTTCATTCCTGTTAGTGTTCTAGCAATTTATCCATTGTCGCTATGTACCATCAGTGTACATGCCAATAGTGAAAAAGGCAAACAGCCGAGCACTGTGATAAAGCTGATGTGATTTCCTGAGCCTGTGAGCAGCATCTGAGCCTCTGTATATCCCAGGTTTCCCTTTGTACACTGTTTCTCTATGTGTGTGCCTTCAAACATTAGGCTAAGGTGTGCTGTGAACCCTCTTGGTTGTATTTTGCAGAAGAAACTGAGAATCTTTGGTTAATGTGGTAATACAATGGAGGCTAGCTAAGTTTAGGCTTAGCATTTCTGGTGTTTTTGGAAACAGGGTCTTATTATATAATGTCTTCTAAGTGCTGGGGTGACAGACATTCACTGCAATATCTGATTTACCAGAAAATTTTGCATGAACTTTGTGCAAAATAGTCTCTGACATCAGATTGACAGTTTTGAATTGTCTGGGCTTTAGGTGTTTCTTTAACGATATTTTTGTCTTTAAATTTTTTTATTTCATTTATGTGGGGAGGAACCATGCCAAAGTGCACATGTGGAGGCCAAAGGAAAATGTATTTTGTGGAGTTAGTTGTCACCTTCCATCTTTACGAGAGTTTCAGGATCAAATTCAGGTTGTCAGGTTTGCATCAGTTAAGCAGTGAGCGTCTTTATCTGCTGAGCAATCCCACTGGCCCTCAATGGTATTTTCTAGCCAGTTTCAATTTTTATACCAAATGTATAAATCTAATCATTCTTCTCGTTCTTTCTCACCCTTCCCTCTTTCTTTCTCCCTCCCCGCTCTCAGAGTCAGAGGCAGCAGGAAGGATTTTTTTAAAAAAAAATAATTTCTCTTAAAGGAGAACTTTTATTTAATGCACTATCCTGATCCACTACAAACTAAGTTGAATATTAACTACAAAACAAAAAAATGCATGCTTTTTACATTGGATGAATCCTTATGTAAGGTGCTATAGATTATTTGTTACATAATTGATAGGTTTGCTTAATTTTGAAGCTAAATGACTCTGTATTTACTTTTAGAATATGCTTGAATTGCTGGAAGAAATGCCAAATGGAGTTCCACCTGAAAAAGTGAAAAGCTACATCTACCAACTAATTAAAGCTATTCACTGGTGCCACAAGAATGACATTGTCCATAGAGGTGAGTGTGGGACTCTCGACATGGAGACTACCAAATCAATTGGCTAGTTAAAGATGGACTGTTTTAAGACCATTTCTATTTTGAAAGTAAACATATGAGAAGCCCTTTGCTCTATACCCACCAAAGGGCAGCGTACAGGTTTATTTTCGATATTGTGGTGCTATCTCTATTTGTATAACCAAGTCTGCTGTGACTGTAGCGATACTAATGAGTCGGAAGATGAAAAATTCGAAGCTTTTTCTGGGTGGAATCAAAGAGGCAGATAGACAATTTCCATAGCCTTTGTGTCTTACAGGTAGACCAGGGCCTGTGAGCCAACTCAGATTATAAGTGGTCTTAAGTCACCGACCCGCCAGTACAGCTTTCTTTTCATTCCTTCTTAGGCCAGGAATCTCTAGTACACATCTTTGCCTGCTGATTTCTGCTCCCTACTGGTGAAAAGTGCCTTTTTTCTATAGGTCTTGCATGGGCCATGATTATACTTCTTGAAACTATATCACTTTTTCTTTAGCACGACAAAGTCAGTGGTTTCAGCAATAAGGGAAATTACTTGCTTTGTGTCATTTTGACTACTATTCGTTTTCTAATAATCTCACTTACACCGGAAAGCTTACAGCAATGGACACAGTTGGATAATAATAATGAAGCTAAAATGTTTATCAGAAAATGTTGGCATATCTACTTCTTTTCTTTGTATTATTGTTAATTATTATTATACTAAATTTATCTGTACAAATGGACAAGGATAATTACCTTTAAAGTAGTCTTACTTTTAAGAGTGGCTGAAGATTTCCAACTTCTACTATTTGACTCTCGTAGTAGTTACCCTATTATCAAGACTGTATACATCATGGATGTATGGGTCAACTGGCCATCTAGTGTCTTAGGTAATGGTTGAAAACCAGCCTGTGATAACTTTAGGATATTAATGAGGAGCTGAGTTAAGTGTATTTCCATTATAGGGCTGTTATTTGATTAAGTGATAGGAAATATGACTCTGAGCCGGGGCTGTAAATGCTAGAGTGCTCCACTAGCCTTTGGTTCGCTCTCCAGGATCGGAAACCACAATCCCATGACTGGGAAATCTTTCAATTCCACTCCCTCTACAATCACCTTATTTTCATCTCTTCCACGTAATAGATGGTAACTCAGTTGTAGCTGGGCATAGCGGTATATACCTGTATTCTCAGCATTTGGGAGGATGGGGAATTCAATGCCATCTTTGACTACATAGGCGGTGGAGGCCAGTCTGAGATACATGAGATCCTATGTCAACAAATAGGATTGTATGGTGCCTCTCAGTGGAATAGTTCAACTTCATTTTCTGACATTTCTGCTCCTCAACTCTTATCACATCTTTACATGATTTATTGGGGAAAACATGGCAGTCTTGACTGTTGTGAACCACATGAAAAAACAAAATAGGTACGAGAATATAGGAATTATGCAGAGAACCTTTTAACAGTTTTCCTCTAATAAACATTATACTGTTTAACTATAGGTGTATATGTTTTTAAAAATATCATGGAGATATAAACATTTTAGCTTCAATCTCCAAAAATTTGTATTGTTAACATTTTATGAAGCAAAAGCAGTTCCTATAAGTATATTGGCCTGAGTTTAATCATTTTAAAAATCCTCACAGTATTCAGTAAGGTGTGTCCTCAACATGCTTTAGGCTCTGGGGTCAATCCTTAGCAGGGAGAGAGATAATTATGTTTTGAGTTTTTTTTTTTTTCAGGATCTCCTTAGCAATTGTGGTCTGCATGTCTCTTAAAAAGAAATCAAGCCTTTTTGTAGCAGCATAAAATGTCTTTTCTCTTCTTCACGCTGCACAGTTTTCTAGTCAAATCCTGCTTAGATGATTTTAAATAGACGCCATTGCAGTACTGTGTCAATCAGCAAAAAATAGACCGTCTTTATTTACTGTTTTTTTAATCTTGGTATTCTAGATATAAAGCCTGAAAATCTCTTAATCAGCCACAATGATGTCCTGAAACTATGTGACTTTGGTAAGTTAAAAAGAAATTGAGCCCCAATATTGAGAGGATTAATTTAATGTACTACATGGGTAGCATTTGAAGGTATATTAAAAGTGATCTTATATTTTGATTTAAATTAGTAGAGGAACATTCAGTTGCATCATATGCTGACAGTTGATGGCTGGTGTAGCTTTGCTTTCTCTTTGTTGTGTGGTATATTATCTGCAATTTTAACAAATTATGCAGTTATTTGTTTAATGGGAGTTAATTTGTAACAAATACTTGCTTGTCATGTAGGAATAATGTACCAAATGACCCAGTGTCAAATGATGCCAGAATTAGAGTTTTCTGTAAACCATCAGTATAGATTCCTGGTTAGAGTAGAATAAAATGTTTTTGCATATTGATAGAAATTGTCCTACATTTAGTCATAACCACTAGATACATGCCCATATGTCTTCACATTTATGTATGATTTACATACAGTGGTTGTACCGGTAAGGTCAAAGCCATTTTGAGAACACATCTGTTTGTTCCTGTTAAATGTTTAATGAATGAAATGGGTAACTGGTGTACAATACTCTTATTTTTCAAATATACAGAAAAACTTCTAAAAATTATACTCCTAGTAAAATCTGTGTTGTTTTTCATGTGGATAATTCTATTTTAAATGCTGTTGAATATTTTAAATAATATAGAAAACTTAATAGTGTTTAGGTCATGGCTTGATAAAAATATCAGAAAGGAGCATTTACAAAAACCAGCAGACAATTAAAATTTTTGAGTTTTCTTTACTACTCAACAGTTGATTTAAATACTTAATTTGTTCTGAAATAAGATTTTGTGTATCTCAGGCTGACCTCAAACTCACTTTATAGCTAAGGATAGCCCTAAGTGTCTGATCCATCTGCCTCCACCTCTTGAGTTTGGAATTATAATCATGTGCCACCACACCAAGTTTATGCAACGTTAGAGGTGGAACCCAGGGGTTCCTGCATGCTAGGCAGAGACTACCAACTGAACGTACTCTGAGCCCCAGGGTCACAGGCACTGATTTTAAGTCAAATGTTGCCATTTCAGCTTTTGAAATTTTCCTTTTTCCTGATCTACATTGTTTTTAAAAAAATGGCAACTCTTTAAAATATTATTGAGAGCTGGAGAGACGGCTTAATGATTAAGAGCACTTATTGCTCTTGAAAAGGACCTGGGTTCAGTTCCCAGTCCCCACAAAGTAGCTCAGAACTGCCTGTAACTCCAGTTCCAAGGGATCTGACTTCCCTTTCTGGCCTCCACTGATTTCCAAGAATGTTGTCTCTGAGTTCCTGTCTGTAATTATGATTACCTCCCAAGATGTCAGCAGACTTATGTACTAGGCCTACCCATGATTCTCCATTAAGGTTCAAAGTGACTGAAGATTTTTAAGCAGGTATAAATAGAAAAGAAATACCTGCGCTATGGTTAACAATAGGAAACGTGTACCATTTCTCTAGCGTTGTTGCATTAAAGAGTCAGGAAGTTCCTTCTGGCAGCACTCCGGATGGCATCCTATGTCCTGTGGGTCCCATCAAGGACTTCTTAATTGTCTTCCCTAGCAGAGAGGCAACTCCTTTATCTGGCTTGAAGAGCCCCATTCAGGACTGCACATAGTTATTCAGCCAAGGCTTCAGTAGGAAGAATTGACTAGCTGAAGTTACGGGCTTTGTCTTTTGTTGCTGTTGTTTCATTCCTCCTTTTTTTACTGTTTCACTTTAAGAAACACTAAGTTTTACCTCTCAAACTGACACAAACCTGAATTTTTAACCCCAGTTTTAATGTTTTCCTAACCCTGGTGGTAAACCTCTATTGCATTTGGTGGGTTAGATAGGTAATTGATTTATCCTCCTGCTTCAGTTTTTGGTCCTAAACCTTTGGAAGGAGTGGGGACAAAAACAATGCTAGTGCCTAGAAGGTAATTAAGATGCCCTCGTTGCTTCTACAGCATTAAGGGCGAAGAGTAATTTTCAGCCTACTCGTTTCTCTCAGTGCCAACTGTTAATTGTTTACTTAATGGCTGGAGCCGCGCAGCAACAGTAAATACACAGAGTTGTGTAGGTCTCACACAGCAGAATTAATGCTCGTGTGACTTGGACTCCTGGCCCTAGTGAGCTCTCGATTTGAAATTGAAAATTTTAGGAGAGTCTATTTGGAAATCTGGCTCCACATGTTGACAAAAAAACAAAATAGACTGGGTGAACTTGAAAACACAGCTCTCTTTAGCATAGAAGAAAGACTGAGTCTGTAGCAAATTCATCATGTGCTTTAGCATAGGAACACTATTAACTATTTCAAATAAGGACGTTCTTAATAAAGTCTATTTAATGTTAGTCATTATACTCTCTTGGTTTTCCTTAAAAGTATTACTAGAGGTGAACAATTTTGTCAACAGGAAATTGCTATTCTTTCAGGTTTTGCTCGAAATCTCTCAGAGGGCAATAATGCGAATTACACCGAGTATGTGGCTACAAGGTGGTACCGGTCGCCAGAGCTATTACTTGGGTGAGTTACTTTTCTAATAGTTTGGCCTATGCACACTTCTTGTTTCCTTGTCATTTGTATTGGGATCACTTATGGAAAATAAAAACTGGGGTTACTTAAATATATCAGTTGCTTATTCGCTGCGGGAAAAGACCCCTAAGGAGGCCATGCTCCTGAGAAACAAGCTGCATTGTCTTTATCTCAATTCTGGGTTCCTGTGGCTTGAGTTCAGCCCAGTAGCCTCTCCTGGAGTCTCTCCGATGGTAGCTAGTTGACTGGTAGATGGACTGGGAACACGTTGATGTAGAGTCCTTTGACTCGTGTCTGATAGACCTCTCTCTCTCTCTCTCTCTCTCTCTCTCTCTCTCTCTCTCTCTCTCTCTCTCTCTCTCTCTCTCTCTCTCCTCTCTGAGACAAGGTTTCTCACTGGCCTGTATGGCCTGTACCTAGGCTGAGCAAGGTATCCCTCCATAGCGAATGGACTCCAAAAAGCCAGTTCAAACACTAGGGATAAACCCTGGCCCCACTATCAGTGACCCCACAGACTAACCAAGCCACACAACCATCACCCCCATTCAGGGGGCCTAGTTGGGTTCTGTGCAGGTTACCCTGCTGCCAATCCGCTCCTCGTTTCTTTGAGACAGGATCTTTTGCTGAGCCTGGAGCTCATTCAGTTGGCTACCCTGGCTGGCCAGTGAGCCCCCAGGATCCTTTTGTCTCTGCTTCCCAGCGCCGGCATTACAAGTACCCACTGCCGTACCCAGATGTTTCTGTGGGTACTAGAGATCACAACTCATGTCCTCCTGCTTATTAAGCAAGCACTTTACCCACTGAGCTATCTCCCCAGCTTCTTGGGCTAATTTTTGGTCCTGGAGTTAAAATTGTTTTTCACTGTATCCATCTGTGTTTCTCCTGGTATATTTGTGCTTCACTGGGCTTTATTATATTCTTTTGAGGAATTTGTGATTTGAATTTATAGGACACTATTTGCTAAGGAAGAGTAGGAAGCAGATCATTCGTAGAACTGCAACCAAGAGCCCAAGTGTGGCAGAAGAAGTCTTTAAAATGGGACTTCTGTCTATAAACTAGACCCATGGAGTCTTGTGGGGATAGCTTTATTATGAATTTTTAGAGGACATTTATCTCTCGTGGCACCCATTGGGAAGCTGAGGTTATGTTCGTAGATGTTCATAGTTGCTAAAAGCAGATGCGCACAGCACAGCCAACTTAAGCACAGTGGAATCGATCGTCAGGTTCTGGTTTAAGTACCATACTATTTGTGTAAAGATTTCATTGAAATCCGTCGGTATTTGGTTTTATATTGAGTCTACATGTTTATACATTCCGAGGACTTTGTCCTTGATATCCAAAATAGTTTCAGCTGCATAAAGTATTCAAATTAGATGATAGGATTAAAATAGCTTGTCATGAGTGTGAGATTTTTTTTTCCATAGGTTTTTCAATCTAGTACCATATGACAGGTTTTCTTTATCTCAAATAGTAGTTTTAAAATTGGTATGCTTAATTGCCCAGAAAGCTACCAAAATTGTTTAAATGAGCTTTCCTCGTGGTTTTAGATTTTGGTGCGGGGAGAGGTGGGGGAAGTAAATGAGATAAATGAAACACTGAGTTATTGTTGCAGTAACTTGTATTAACCTCAATGTATTCTGTATGCTAATAATGCTGTAGTTCAAATTTTTATATTAGCATTATGGCATTCTAGAATTTCGTTTGAGATTATTTTTCATATATTTTATTTTGGCTTTTCCTTTCTTAAAGCTTGGATTCTTTATGTTTGAAACTGTGTATAAGTTTTGTTTAAACTGTCGTAAATAATTTTATTTTAGATTTTAGGTACCAAGCTATAAGCTATATGGGGAGCCTTAAATTTTCATTTATGGCCTCCATTTGTAGCAAATTCTCTTCGTCAAGCTCTCTAGTGAGTTAGGTCCTAAAAGAGAGCTACAAACCCTTAAGTCCATTAAAACATTATTTGCTAGAAGTAGTTATCAGAATGCCTCGTATAAAATAGTTATATCTAAATAACTCATCTTAGCTGTTAGAAATTATGATTCTAAGCAATCAGAAGCTAAATAACATTCAGTATTTGTTTAAGGTACATAAGGCAATGGTACATTTTACCAGACTAAAGCTTAAAGTAGTAATTATTTGAAAATACATTTCTTGGGAATATTTCATTGCCTAAGTGAGGTGTTCTTATTCAATATGGACATTAGTTTATTAAAGCCATTAGTGTTCAAGATATATCTAGATTTCAAATAAGTATATCCTAACTCCATTGTGCTTAAACTGATTTCTTTTAGAGTGTGGGTTATGGACTTGTATTCTAAATTTTTATGTAGATGGCTCTAATTTCTTATTTCCAGTCTCACTTTTGCTAGTGGCCCTTTAAAATTCCTTAAGTACATGCATGTCTTAAATCATGAATTTGGTCCAAATTAAGTTGGGGATTATTAAACATTTTGTGTCTTCAGTTGTTAAGATTGTCTCTTCTTTTGCTTTTCAGAGCTCCCTATGGCAAGTCCGTAGACATGTGGTCAGTGGGCTGTATTCTTGGGGAGCTTAGTGATGGACAGCCCTTATTTCCTGGAGAAAGTGAAATTGACCAACTCTTTACTATTCAGAAGGTGCTAGGACCACTTCCATCTGAGCAGATGAAGCTCTTCTACAGTAATCCTCGTTTCCATGGGCTCCGGGTAAGAGGCTTTGCTAAAATCCGAAATGGAATCATTCTGGCAGTATTTAACGTGCTGTTCACTGCACAATAGAATGCTAAGCTTCCCATTGCACACTCTCCCTTTCCCATCGCTGTGTTTTTAATTCTCACTGTGATATTTTATTTCTGAATCTTATATAGTATTTGTGAAATTAAAAATAGCCACAGTTGGAAAGCAGGAGCTGCTAATGTCTTTTTTCTAATCTGTAAAGTTTGATTTTTCAGTATCTTTTTAGCATGTACGTTATTTTATTCCAAACCTTTATCTTACACTATCTCTTTATTCAGAATATTAAGCATCTCTGAAAGACAGCCGTATGCTGCTGTTGACTTAGGTGAATATATTTGTGGTGTCTTGCAGATGGCCATGGGTGCTTGCGTTCTACAGATTTAGAGGTTCTGCTTCACAGATTTTTCTTGTACACTAACAGTGGAACCTCAGATCCATGTAGAAGTCAGAGCCTTGGGCATGTTTTCCTAGGCTTGATGCCTTTGTGTAAGACTTGTCTGCTGAGACTGTAATAAAAAATATTTTCAAAACCATGAACTTTGTCCAAATGAGGAACATGTAACTGCCAGCGGTACCTCATCAGAATGAAAAGGGTTTTATAGACTGCTCTTTATTCCCATCTACCCCCAATGCAGCTTTGTAAGTGTTTAAGCAGTCCTTTAAGCCAATGTGTCAGTTTGTAGTCTTTGCAGAAACTACTAAACAATTTCATCATTCCTTAGTCTATTTTATTTTCCAGTGCAAATGTATAAATCTCTAACCATTCTATTATTTGTTTTAATATTTTTTTATTCTTTGAAAATGTTGTATAGTCACACAGTGTATTTCAATCATGTCCCTCCAACTCGCCCTAGGGTCTCCCTATCTCACCTCCCTCTAAACTTCATGTCTTCCATGGTTTTTGTCCTTGTTGTTATTGATAACCCCTAGTCTACTTAGCGCTTCCCGTGTATGTATGAGTGACCTACTTGCATCTATGTCCCCAAAGGAAAATGACTTTTCTTCCCTCACAACCATCAGCTATCATGAAATGACAAATTCATGATGTCACTTGTCATTTGTAAAGTGCTTTGGTTTTTTTTTTTCCTTTGACTTTCTGGACCTCGGTTAGTTTCTCCTGCTCACATATGAACACAACACAGTCCCAGCTCCTCCTGAGATCAGCACACATGCAAGAAATGAACAAAGTGAGCTGTATATAGTTTTGCATTCCTCTCTCTGCTTTCTTTCTTCACTTCCTCCCCCAAAGGTGCCTGTTACTTTAGACTATTTTCTCCTTTTGTTTTTGCTTATATTAGCCAAATTGTGATCATTGATTAGTTTACAAAATAGTATGTAGTTCAAAATTAATTTAACAGTTATGGAACATTTCTCGTACTAGAGGCTGAAAATGTGGCAATAAATAAGACCTGTTCTTGGTCTAACAGAGAGGCAAATATTATATTCACAAATACTGAATTTCTGTTCTCACTGAGGATCATTCCATGCTCTCTGCCATAGCCTGTGAGGTCTTGCATGATGGGGCCTTTGGTTCCCTGACCTTGTCGCATATGTGTCTCCATTTGCCTCCCTCCAAATTCTCACCACACTTGCCTGTTCTTTTACCTCTATGGGCATTCTGAGGTTTTGGTACTTCATGACTACTTGGTACTTGAGACTAGTGGTTTCTTCTCCTTGGAACATTCTTACCTTGCATGTCTTCTCCTCATTTGTAATTTCAACCCAAAGAGTCTCTCCTCTTTCTGATGATCCTTCGTACAGTCCCCTCTTTTCTGTATGGTACCTTTCGTTTCCCCCATCATACCACTGAACATGGCATGGGATTATTTCACCTGCTTGTTTAATTGTTCCTCATCAATGGCAGAGTTGCCTGTGTTTTCAGTTTAGCATTTGGTGTTCTGTTAGATGCTAAACATAGAACCTAGTACACATTGCCTTGGGTTCTTTTCCTGTGGCAGTGATAAAATCCCCTGGCAGAAGCAACTTAAGGGAGAAAGGGTTCATTTTGGCTCACAGTTTTGATTACAGGCCATAGTGGTAGGGAAGTCACAACTGGAGGAGCTTGAGGGAGCTGGTCACATTGCATCTTCAGTCAAGAAGCAGAGAGTGGCCAACTATGACTCAGTTCCCTTCCTCCACCTTTTATAGTCCAGGAATGGTCCTGCCCACAATTAAAATGGGCCTTTCTGCATCAATTAAGGTAATCAAGATAACCCACACAGGCATGCCCACAGGCCCCTCTTCCAGGAAATTCTAGATTTCTGTCAGGTTGACAACACTAAACCATCCTGTCTGAGGTAGACTCTCACTGAATGACTGAATGAGTCTATGCCATCAGCAATCAAATTCAGTTGCATTTCCTTTCTCTCTGCCTCTAATGCTGCCTTCCCCCGATTGACCTTACATGAACTTTGAGTTATTTTCAAACTGATCTCTTTTTTTTTATTAAAAATTTCTGCCTCCTGGCGGCCTCCCATTTCCCTTCCCTCCCCCCATCCCCCTTCCCCACCCTCTCCAGTCCAAAGAGCAGTCAGGGTTCCCTGCCCTGTGGGAAGTCCAAGGTCCTCCCCCCTCCATCCAGGTCTAGGAAGGTGAGCGTCCAAATAAACCGGGCTCCAACAAAGCCAGTACATGCAGTAGGGTCAAAACCCAGTGCCATTGTCCTTGGCTTCTCATCAGCCCTCATTGTCTACCCATATTCAGAGATTCCGGTTTTATCCCATGCTCCATCAGTCACAGTCCAGCTGGCCTTGGTGAGCTCCCATTAGATCAGCCCCACTGTCTTAGTGGGTGGGTGCACCTCTCGCAGTCCTGACTTCCTTGCTCATGTTCTCCCCCCTTCTGCTCCTCATTTGGACCTTGGGAGCTCACTCCGGTGCTCCAATGTGGGTCTCTGTCTCTATCTCCATCCATTGCCAGATGAAGGTTCTATGGTGATATGCAAGATATTCATCAGTATGGCTATAGGATCGAACTGATCTCTTAAACTTTCTCTCAAACTACGCTTTTAAGTCTGTCTCCGTTTTGCTTACCACTTCCTATGATTTCTGTTAAAGTTTAAACTCTTTAAGGTAGCATTCAGGTTTCTCTGGCCTCATCATCCCCTGTCCTGATCTCTTCGCTATATTCTCAGGCCACCAGGAACCTCTAGCCATGTGTTTGGCATGGCCCGAGTCTTCCATAGTGCTACACTGTTATCTCTAGTGCTCCGAGCCCAGCCTAGAGCCGGTGAAGCCCTTCTAGAGTGTGCATCTAGGCTGTTTTACATTCCTGTAGCACTTTGATCATTTTTCTTTGCTGTTATACCCGTTGATGCTCAATTAAATAGCTGTTAGCAAACATGCCTCCTCACCAAGCTTATGACTTTGTCGAGGAAAGAAACTGCTCCGTTCATATCGCACACCTAAGGTGGTATCTCCTAGATTGCATAGTGTTGATTTATTTATTACAGGTCTGGTTAGAAGGCCTGTGCCACAGAATCTGAATGGTGAGCAGATTTTGACATTTCTAGGCCTACTCAATAACTTAGAAACTAAGAAGTTAAGATGTTTTCTTTATCCCTCAACTTTATTTTTTCTATTCTTTTAGTTAGCATGCAGAATAATTTTTTTATTCATGCATGTATATCTTTGTGTCTTGCTCTTATTCACCACCCTCACTACCCTCCCCCATCCTGCCTCTTCTCTCTAGCTGGTCCCTTCGACCTACCCTGCAAATAATCTTCTTCTTTCTTTCTGTGTGTGCGCACACACGCACACACCTAGATTCTGCATATGAGAGAAAACATGTGATATATTCTTTCTTTCTCCACTATCCTGGCTTTCTCATCTTCAGCTCTGTCCAAGACCTCTTCCTTCTTCTGCCTCATAGTGAAATCCATATTCCACATGTGAAAGGAAAGTTCTATTTGCTTTCTTGAATGTGGCTTCTTTTGTTCCAATGGTTATTTTCCAGTCATCCATTTCTCTACAGCTGACATGGTTTCAGTGTGCTGAATGACTGAATAGGATTCCATTGTTCATGTATGTCATCTGTTCATCTTTGGTAAGCATCTAGACTGGATCTGTGGCTTAGCTCTTGTGGGTAGTGCTGCATTAGGTACGAACATTCTGGTACCTCTGTGGTATGCCATTGTCAGTTTCTTTTGGGTAACACCCAACAGTGGTATAGCTCAGAGATGAGATGGTAGTTTTCAGCTTTTTTTGAGGGCTCTCCACCCTAAGTTCTATAGGAGCTGCACAAGTTTGCATTCCTATTAGCAGTGAATATGGATTCCTCTTTCCTGCATCCTCACCAGCGTTTGCTGGTTTCTCAGTTACGACTGGAGTAAGAGAATCAAAGGCAGGTTTAATTGGCATTTCCCTCATGCTAAGGTTGAAGGTTTTTTTTTTTCAACTATTTATTGGCTTTCCGTGTTTCTTCTTTAGAGGAATGTGTTCAGTTCATTTACCCATTTGTCGATTGAATGTTCTGGGTTTGGGTGTTTAGTGCCTTTTGTTGGAGTTGTTTTGTTTTCTTAGTTCTTCATAGATGCTGTATTTTTGGAGACAGGGTCTTACTAAATTGCCAAGGCTGGTCTGAAACTCCATGTAGCTGAGACTGCCTTGCCCGTATGATTTCAACATCATGCAGGTGTTATAGCCTATGTTTATGTCACACAGATATGAGAATTTCATAGAGAAAAAAACAAACAAAAACAAAAATACTAGTATAAAGACAAAAATAATTTCATGCTGAATTTAATTAGTAAACTATAAATTTATACACAAGCATAATGTGCTACATTCCATCTCATTGTTCTGCTTCTATCATATTTCATTGTGATTTGGACCAGGAGCGTGTCACACTTTCTGGCAAGTTGGAAATCATATCTGGTATTTTATTAGAACAGCTTTTATGGGCAGATTTGAAATTTAAGGTGCATCTTTGAAGAATAAATCACATTTGAATTAGAGGCCACATTCAAATTT